TTGTGCGACATATAACTGTAGTATCTATCAACTCATTTCTACTGTGTTATCTCTTTTTTGATAATAAGTGCAGTTTACTGTCTTAGTTCACTTCGCAATTATACGCTACATTATTATGATAGACAGAAATTTCCTTTTTGATTGCGTTTGCTTGAGAAGTATAGCATGATATTATAAACGTTATTTTTTATACTATGTTTTTTATTTTATTTTATTTATAATCGTTAATTGTAATACAGAATGGATATCAATATTTATACTCTACTTATGAATTAAATATTGAGTAATATTGATGAAATAAAATGCGATTTTTTTTATTTTCCGTATTCACTCCAAAAATTTACTTTTTACTGCAGGGAAACATTCTTAGTATTTCCACTTTTGTCTTGCCGGACAACTATCTTCTTAATTCAGACATAAACACAATTTAAGGGAATTCTTATCGTTATTCAAAGGGTATAAAGCTAAACATTTACTGCAAAATAAACGATTCAATGTAAAGTAATGCATCAAGACTGCATCTCAAACTTATGATAGGAACTTGCTTTAAACGCGAAACGCGCAGGCATGAACTCACTTATAATTGGATACAACTCTACTTAATATAGCCAAATAATAGTTAACTAATACTCTGTTTTGGAACATTTTATTGTTTTTATGTATTAAATAAAGAGACATACTATTTAGCAACTCCAGAATCGATTATATATTGTGGAACCAATATAATTTTGTTGTTGATAATTTTATTTTAAAGAATACTTTAAACTATTATATAATGTATAATCTTTAACAAAACATCTGCGCGTTAACAGTATATAAATAACACATGGGTTTGTGGGTAACAGTAAAAATATCATCCCGAGGAAAATACTGTTACCCGAATATTTAGGACCAAACATGAAATGTATCATTACACTGTGGAGGATTTTTTTTCCGTCATTTTGATGAAAATATGACTCCCCTAACAAGCTAAAAATATTTGACCTTTTGTGTTCTGTTTTCTTTAGCTGTATATACAGCTTTGTGTTTCAATAAAAAGGAAGTAAAGTTATGACCCCTTTGATAAAACTTATTCAATTTACTAATGACCATGCGAAAATGCATAAACGGATTTTGGATTAAAGCGGCGTATGCGACTGTATGTCCTTACGTGTCTTAGAAAATCGAAATAACTAATGTCCAAGTATTTGACTAAAGATAAATATATTTATTGAAACGGTCGTAGCTTAGTACTTAATTTTGGCATACACTTATACTTTCTATGTGTAGCTTTAGAACTGATACGTTCAGGCAAGTTTATTATTAAACTCGTCGCCAAACGTTTTGGTGTAGGTCATCTTCTTTATAAAACAACTTACTTACATGTTATTTCTGGGGTTATAATTAATAAAAAATGCAGTTGCTTGTCAATAAATGAACCTAAAGTGAAAGTTTATCATTTGTGACACTTTACTTCTAAAACGCTAAAACCACTGTGTGTGTGGAAATATAATAAATACTGACACAATTTTATATTAAGTTCTCTAAATGAGTATCAAAAATAAACTTCCTTGTTTAAATTTCTTGGATTTTTGAGATCTGTGAACCGTGTTTCACCTTATTAATCATTTGACATTGGGTTTTAAATTTTATCAATTCTTTAGTGATTATTTAGCGAAAAACCAGTTCATTAAAAGTTTTGACTGCGTTATAAAAATATTAATTTATTCTTCTAGTTTTATCCATATTAACGAGACTACTGCGAATAATGCTCGCCATCCCTGAAACTGTTATGCATATGTGAAGAACTGGTACTCTCAGCAGATTATCTTCATTGTTTATGATATGTCTTTATGATTAGTTATGTGTGCACCTGATATCAATGACAAACAACGGTATAATTTTGTATATACGATATATCGTTAAAATGATTAATAAGTATAAGTGTAAGTTACAAAAGCTTTTTTCTATACAATCTTATGGATACTTGACTCATGGTACTTACGATTATTCTCATAATCGATATGATGATTACTAGTATTACATTAACTGTAAAAATATCTATTATTTGGTTTGCTTCTAAGGGATCACTTCTTTCCAAATTTACACATCACAACAACAGGTGTTAAGGGTTGTGTTTCAGCCGTAACATGATGCCCCGTACTTCACGTCAGTATTGTTGAGCAATGTTGAGAATTGAGTAACGCTCACGCCGGTGCAGGGGGGGGGGGGGTCGTGAGTAATATCGCACTTTTTCATTATCCTTCATTTACAGACTCAATTAAACAGAGTTTTCAATTTTCATATCATTTTGCTTAATATATCATTGATTCCAAGTTATCATTTTTTCGATATATTTGTAATACTATGTTTTAATTCTCATCTTTGCTGCAGTGAAGGGACAATTACAATAACGCTATTATCATGAGTTTCCCAATTAAGATATGCATTAACCATTGAAAGGAATAGCGTATTATGTGAAATCCTCGTTGCATGACAATTGAAAACGCAGAGCATAACTTCCAACGAAATCAAGGAAAAACACGTGATCGAAATCGATCATAGAAAATATGCAGAAAATTGAAAACATTATAAAGGATATATAGGGTATAATACTATAATATATTGACAAATGATATGATTAAAAATATTGGAATGTTAAGCTGGTTAATGATACAGTTTTTGTAGGTCGCATGTAGTTCTTAGAGCTTTGAAATTACGTCTTACGTAGATAAAGCAAATCACTTAATTTATATTTATTCGAACAGAAAATCTATTATAAATAAGTTTATACATCTTTTTTAGTTTTAGTTCGAGTGTGTTTGAAGCTATTACCTTATTGAATCATTCTCGCCTGACAGGATTTGACACACATGGTCAGCAATCTGTAGATTACTAGTCCGACGTGTGCACCGCTCGGTCTCACCGCCGTTAGATATAAACTACTAAGATTATTATCTTGTTTTGTTTTTTAATCAGCAAAATTCACACAAGACATTCATTTTCATGGCCAAACATTACAAATGTAAACATGCACAAACACATGACTGTTAACGATATATATTTTGGCTTGTGGCATAACCATGAAATGAATGAGACAGAAATCAAGCAAACACTCTTTAGACGGCAGCCTTTATACATTGTTGTTGAATTAGAATCAAAATAAAATATTCAGTGATTTCATCGCTTAATAAATTCGATGTGTTTGATTTCGAAGCGCAGAATTATATAATATGGGCTACGCTCTCGGAATAAAGTGCTGCTCATCTAACCGAAAGTACCAAATTTGAGGATAATAATAGCCAAGCTATAAGAACTACATGCAACGTGCATCAGTTTAACAGTACTTTTTTAATTTCTAAATCGTAAATCGAATAGGTAAAGAACAATTACGAATATTTATCACTACATACTATGACTTATAGAACGACTACAGGACAACAGTTTAAGTACCTTTATAGACTAGTATTACATCTGATATACTAACTACAGAAAAAAGCATGCACTCTTATATATTATATATAAAATACTTAGCATGCGTATCCTTATATATTGTAGAAAAAAGGCGGACTATTCTTAGCATGAGTACCATTAAATATTATATCTAACATACTGAATATTTGATAAATGCGTGTGTATTCTTACATATTATATCAAATATACTGGCTACAGAAGAAAAGCGTGAGAATAAATTCATATCATATTCAATAAACAACATACTTACAATATACTGACTACAGGGTAATACCGTATAAATTGTTATTTACTCTTATAATCAATAAGAAGCATACTGACAACGTGTCAAATTTGTGATTACAAGCGCAGCTATCCCAGCACATGCCTATCACTTATATACCGACTAGAGGGCAAAAGCGTGGTTAAAACCTTTACACATAATAACTAACATACTGACACGATTACTACTTTGAGATCACACGCATTAATATCCTACCTCATACCTATCAAATATATACTGACTACAGGACAAAACTAAACCATGGCAGAAGTGTAAAAATCAGAGTTAGCATAACTCGTGTAGCATAAAACACATATACTGACTGAAAAAAATGGCAACAATTAAGAAATACAAAACACTGGATTATATATTGCATACGTATATATGATTGTATGTTTTTCTTGGTTTTACTCCGTTTCAAACACAATGTTCTATCTCGTAGAAGGCTTTCATGGATAATTAACTAGTGCTAACTAATTACTCTGCAAGTGTTTAACCTTGATAAGCTGATTATTGATACACTAAGTATCTTTAGTTCGATTTAAAAAAATGTTACTGCTTTCAGTTAAATGACCTATTTTAAGTCCAGTTAGCATAGCAAAGCCAAGTGCTTAAAGCATAATTATATTGATGTAAAATATATGTGTGTATATACTTCTTTATTTCAAAGCTTGCCTTATTCAAAACAATGAGTAGCATAAAGATATAAATAGAAAGAAACTGCTGGATGTACAAAAGTGGATGGTAGGTAATAACGTAAAATCATATCTAAAGCCACGGCACAATCATTTGAAACAACAAATAGGTATACAAAAATATATGCGTAACAGATTCACTTTCTAGACTATTATTTGTCTAAATGTAAACGACAGAAAAAAGCGTTATTAAAGAATTTAAGATTCTATTATTTTCCTTGATATGCTTTGATATGCTAGATCTAACAAACTGATGAAATCTTAAAATCGTGATTGCTAATACGATTGATTACTAGTTATTCTATAACATACATATCAAAATCTATATATATACAATAACAATGTTAGAGTAAAAAACAATAATCGTATATACCTAAACAAACACACTTTTAGCATTTTCGAATAAAACTCATCATACACGTTCCTTGTTAAAAACATTGACTAGCGTATTGAGAAAAGTACTGCTCGATGTACAAAACACAGCATGCGAATGTTATGCAAATAGTTGACATAAAAAACCGTGACATAAACATTCCAATTATGTGAAATTGAATCAACAATACAGGTTTCTAAAAGTAAAATTTCAGAAGTTAGTTTAATAAATTCATTTACTAACCCATTTGATTCTATAAGATAATAGAAAAATAGAATATAATACAGATATCACAAAGAACGAGACAATGTTTATCTGAAATAAATAAATAAATAGATAAATAAATAAATAAATAAATAAATATAAAATAACATTACACATGACAACTTTTATCTAAATGTCTTTTAATAAGAATTTGATATACGCGTAGATTTTTAATATTCAAAATAATTAAAGAAAATTTTAGAAACTAACATTTGTGTATGAATTTCTCTTTAATAAAAAAATATAGAAAAGACATTCTCCTGATTAGCCATTTCATTTTGAAATCCATGGTCAAAGTATAAAACTTAATGAAATTGAAAAGAAGAAACATGTATCAAAAAAACTTTTTGAAATGAAAACATTTATCTGAAAAAGTTTGAGAAGTTTATATAAGCGGTTTTATCTTAAACTCATAAAAACATGAAACTAAGGTATTGTTTGCACTTTGATTTAACTGTTAGCAACTATACAGACGCTCCAATTCTAATAATTTGATAGAAAGTTGGATAGAAAATCCCTACCAATACCTTTTGGGCGAGACCCTGACAGCATTTGTTCTGTTTAACCTGTAATATTAACTTATACTGAGCACAGGTTTACATTTAGTATTTCAAAGCATACATTATGCATAGTTATACGTTACAAATGTTATGTAAATATTGAAAATATAGAAAGACAAGGAAAATTGTTTGGCAAACTTTTGTTTGGCAAAATAATTCTATAAAACATTTTTTCAAGAAGGCAACATATAACATATTTACATCCATAGGTTGGACAGTAGCCTTTCTTTTCTTTTCTTTTCTTTGTAACAGTTTGATAAAACATAGAAAAATACCAAAAAACATCTTCTTTCCTACATTTGATATTTAAAGCAAAACCTTGTTTAAAGTCAAAATATTTAAAAATATAAAAACGGACGTTGTCTGAGAATGTTTATGTTTTTAGAACAGAAGGAAAAATTAAAGTAAATAAAAAAATAGAATTATCATTGCTTTACTTTTATAAACAGAAAATAGAAAACACACACATACCTTTGCACAAAATTTACTGCAACGCGATTTACAACATCCACAACAGTATTCCTGAACGAAAATCAATGATTCGTTCTCCTCCAATAAATTATAAAAGTTGTTTTCTGTTTTCTGTGAAAATAAATGACAATGTAAAAATGTCCAAACTTTCATACCCCACTGTAAGATAAACATGTGCAAAAAGTAAAAACGAAGTACAAAATCATATTTACTGACGATTCTTCATACATGTTTATGTTTGTTCATTATTTGAAAAAGATAACAAAGACACGCCATTTTTGGAGGCATATTAAACTTAATTGCTGTATTGCGACTTTCCAGCCAGTGCTTCTCACCATTTTATGATTTAACCTAGTAAAAGGTAGACTGATTTATGTTGTTCCAGACTCTGCATCAAAGACAGAAAAAAATGCTATACCATGTAGTTTCATTAAAATTCAAAGGACAGTTAATGATTTTATGTTTGAACTGTAGAACTGGCAGCCTTCCCCAGTTATTTTGTAGAACGTTGCGGTATACACGGAAAACGAAAAACGCTCTCTGTGGAAAAAAGACCGCACACTACATGTTAAACGAAGGAGCGTAAACGCTAAATGTTTGAAGTTTACAAAAAATTTGGGTAGACATGTCAAATCATGGTACGTTTTGAGAAATCAAAGATGGCCGCCAAGATGGCCGCCAAATTATTGAAAAATGGCTAATACGCAATTTATATGACAAAATAAGTTATTTTTTGTATTTATTTTGGCACAGGTGATGTTTAAAACTTCACATCCTATTGGAACAATATGAAAAAATGGTCCTTTTCCTTTTTCTTATACATATACTCTTGTTTTCATAGAGAAATTTTGCTAAAAAAGCATGAAAAAGTATCAAAAATCGACATAGGGCTGGCATTTTTTCCTATCAGTCGAGGCATAGTGGTGAAAACTAATATTTTTACCATATTATACAAAGACCTAATCAACAACTCACTAATTGTACCCTTATTTTTATTTTTATTGTGTAAGAATGTGAATTCTGACATTCTAAAGTGGGTGGGTACACGAAAATTGAGTCCCAATTTCTAGTGAACTGATATATAACGATTATTAAGACTAAGGATAACCAACAAGATTACATTTTAAAATGTTCTTAAGTCTTTAATTTTTTAAAAGGTAGATTTTCATTTTACCAACAACATTAATTGGTTCTGTTGCCATGGCAACACAGTGGTTAAATGAGAGAAATCCGGAAAAGTATGAGGCTTTCAGTTTTATCATTTTAAGCATGTTGTAGAAGTTAATGTCATGATTATGCATTACAGAATACAGAGTTGGATACATTTGAAACATTAAAAACATCATTTCAAATTTCACTACATTTACTTTCCATGAAAAAACACAAATTTGAATTAAAACATCGGTAACATTTTGCTGAACCGTTTCTGTAACAATAACAACGCTTTAAGTTTTAGAGGCAAAAGATAATAATGAAATCTAATCAGAGTTATATTGAAAAATAAAATTTATCCTTGATGTTTGGCCCGATATGAGAAAAAACTTTTTAACATTCTTCATTTATTGGTCATTAAATGATAATAATAAATAACAAATAAAGCAAAAAAGATCCCAGAGATCAAATGTGATAAGAAGGAATAGACAATATGTCAATATGTTATGATGAAGAACGTCTTCAAGATAATGTGCCATAGATGCATCTGGGAAAACCTAAATGATTGTGTTCTCATCTCAATGCAATACAAGCCCAGCTGAAATATTTTAACAGTTGGAGAAACATTTGATAAAATCACCATTTTGTGTTAGAAATTTGACACTTTCTTCTATTCTAAAAATATAGAGCAGCATAAATTATAAATCCTGTGAAGATGTCTTGTTACGCAAAACAAATAGGCCATATTCCACCGTTGCCTCAAAATTCTTTATAAATCATTTTGTGACCTACAGGTCAGACCACCTAATGCTTTGTTATACGGTCAGTATGTCTTAAATGATCATCAACAAATTCCGCACTGTTCATCAAATGGCATCTTGTCTTATTACCAAAAACAACCCCTTCATTTATAAACACATTAAACTAGAGAAAAACAGAATCCGTAAAACGTTGTATAGAATCTCCATTGTTTATTTATTGAAAATCGGATACAGTAGGGACAAACTCCAGTATACATTAAGAACAAGCTACAGAAGAATGTACACAAAAGTCTCAAATTAATTATACAATATAAGTACAAATGTAATTCCGATATGTAAACAATATGAGTTTTATTACCGCAGTCTCACTTCGTCCTTTAGAAATATGTGACTATTTAAGAAGATGGCGGTCTGTTTCATAATGTCATAATAAATCACGTTGAAAAGAATTTAAGAGTATGTTTATATGAAAATAGTTTTACATAGTCATATCTAGATTTGTATAATTGTTGAAATTTCATTTAATGTCGAGTATTCCTTTTAAATGTTTATAACTATGATATAAATTTGTTGATTTTAACGCATTTGAGCATGTTATATATATCAGAAAGGCACTTAAAACATTTGGTGTAATGATAGATTTTGCTTTTGTTTTCGACCATTTTTTACCAGTTATAAGAAAAATATGTGTTTGTAAAACTTTGGGAGCGATTTTTGTTCCACTCACACAAAAAGTGTGTAAATTGTCGTCACGAAGTAATAAGCTATAACTGATATACAGGTAAGCATTCAAATAAAATCTCAAAGACATTGGTAATTATATCAACTGTTACAGTGTTGTTATTTTCTCATCATCAATAATTATCAACAAATCATGTGGAATAACCCGCGGCTGAACGTATCCAAAATTCATATAAGCTCTCTGTTTTAAATAAGTCATTATAAAAGTGCAGTCTTGAAACCATAGTTTCAATGTAATTGGAAATGAGGAAAAACAGCATTTCTCAAATTGTCCGGTAGCATGTAATGCACATGAACACTTGTGTGTTCCAAATTAAGATTAAGTTCAGGACGTATTTGAATTTGGAATTAGGATGAACACATGACTTTGATTTCTTTATTTTACAAACAATTTTAGTGTTGTCTTTATTTGAATAAGCCAAATTTCACTTTCTTATAGACTTTGTAATTCTGATTTGCCTTGAAAGATGACCAGAAGGTTTCAATATTATGAAATAATGCACGGAGGGAAACATATTAAGGTCTTCCTCAGTAAAGCAGGAAAGTCGCCACAAAGCCTTTGACGTAAAATAGGCTATATTTGAAAGAAATTTACAGAAATTTTGTTTTGTTGTTGTTTTTTGCACAAATCGGATAACTGTATTTCTTAGTCACAGAAGTTAAAAATAGAACTGACAATGCGTAATGTTTTCAAATATTCCCAGAAATAAATAAAAAGATCTTGAGCTTTTATATGTATGGCTTTTTTAAATGGGAATAAAACAACATTGTTAATCGCCTTCCGCGTAGCGGAAAGGGGATTATAGGAATGGACTCCGTATGTCAGTCCGTCCGTCCGTAACACCTTCGTGTCCGCTTCATAATTTTTTAAACCCTGAAAATTTTTTGAAATTACTTAGCACAATTGATCACCATAATGAGACAATATGCAGAGCGTCGCAATAATTGGGTCGCTACCCCCAAGGTCAAGGTCACATGTTAAAAGTTTTCATTTAATAATAAAAAGTCTACATTTCGTGTTCGCTCCATAACTTTTTTAACGGTGTAAAGTTTTGAAATAACTTTGCACAACGGATCACCATTATGACTAGACGTGCAGTACGCAATAATTGGGTTGCTACACAAAAGGTCAAGGTCACACTTTAAGGTCAAATGTTAAAAAGTCTACATTTCGTGTCCGCTCCAACATTTTAACCGCTGAAATTTTAAAAAAATGTCTTGGCACAATTGATTACGAGTATAAGAACATGTACAGAACGCAAACTTTGGGTTGCTACACCAAAGGTCAAGGTCAAATGTATAAAAATCTGCATTTCATGTCCCCTCCATAAGTTTTAAACCTATGAAATTTTGTTTAGATAGCTTGGCACAATTGATCACCATTATGAGACGATGTGCAGATCGCAATAATTGAATTGCTACCCCAAAGGTCAGGGTCACACTTACAGTTCATATATTAGAAAGTCTACATTTCGCGTCTGTCTCTAACTTTTAAACCTCTGAAATGTTTTTAAGATACATTGGCAGAAATGATCAACATTATGACACCATTGGCAGAGCACAATAAGCAAGTCACAACCCTGAAGGTCAGGGTCACACTCAACGGTCCAACGTAAAAACTTTATTTTTCATGTCCGCTCTATAACTTATTGACAATTCAAAGGTTTTAAAAATACTTTATCCCCACCACGACACAATCTACAGACCTCAAAATCCAATTCGCTGCAACCAAGGTCAAGGTTATATGTTCTCCATAACTTTTTGACTTTATGGGAGATTTGAAATAACCTGGCACAAATAATCGCCATCTTGAGACTATGTGCTTATGATATGCATGACACCACAGCAAGGTCATGGTTGGTAAAAGGTCAAGAAGTATACATTCATGTTTCTTGCGAAGCCCCGGAGTAAACTGTCTTTACACAGTGTAAATATAGGAAAACATGAAAATATTCTTCTCCATAACTGCAGGACCTAGTAAAGAATACTATTAATTTGCTTAAATCACGACCTTGTGGTCAAATTCATTTATGCCAGGGGTCACTTCAATTTACATATAGGATAAGCTAAAAAAATAACTTCTCCCAAATCCGATGCCTATAGCTAATTATTTCTGTTGTAGCCTTGTATAGATCAGTACAAAATTTATTCAAATGAAAATTTAACCCACCCCTAGGGTCAACTTATTTCATATGGAGACACAAAGGAAAACTTTTTAAAATCATATTTCTTTCCAAAACCAAATGCCCAGATCTTAGATTTTGGGTTAAAAGCATTGTCAAAAAAAACTTAATTTATTTTTTGTAAATCTTGACAATCTGGTCAAAGTTGACCTAACCCCAGGAGTCATTTTACTCTGTGTTATAAAGAAAAGGCTTTGAAAACTTTCTTTTCCATAAATAAAATGCTTTGATATTTAAGTGTGACGCATTCATTCTATGACCATATCAATTTATG